GGAAAAATTATGAGAGTACATTTTTACGATGCACACCGTCACAAAAAACCGACACCCTGAAGTTAGCATAGTCAACATTTTAAAATAAAAAATGTCAATTTCATTAATTATGTAGAAATATTTTTTTGTGATATTTAAATATAACTTTATTTAACTAGATAATACGATATAATAAAACTTTCAATGTATTAAATACCTTTTTTCTATTGTTGTATAATAAGTTTTTTCTACAAACGTAGAATAAGGCGAAAGACAACATTTTTAAAAATATTTTTACCTTGTTACGCCAAAGAAGTATAACTTCTAACATGTTTTTTTTAAATAGAAAAGGTGGCAAACGGGCAGGAGGCTCATCTGATCTTAAATGATACCGAAACCCATGAGTAATCTGAATGGCAGAGGGCTCGCGAGTGCGTTGCCGGCTTTATAAGGCCCCTAACCAACAAGACCTAACCTACTAAGAACCTACAATAAAAATATAAAAATATATCCAAATACCAATAACTAGGCTGTCAACGGTTTTAGTTCATAAAGTTTTAGTAGTAATTTATTTATTTACACTTCGTTACATTTATAGAACATCAAATAACATAACAAATAAAGATTATAAGTTATGCAACGGGCGGCCTTATCGCTAACAAGCGATCTCTTCCAGGCAACCCTAGTAAGAATATAAAATAAATATAATGGGTAAAAGTGCATAACCAAATCTTATAAAAAAAATACGGATTGTAGCAATTACTATTCGTTTTTGAATAGATACTAGGCGAAGGACAGACTACCTGACAAAGTGCATTATACGCACTATTCTTGGTAACAAAACCTGCATGATTCACGTCTTACTCCTAGATATCCGTGTTCTTTTATCCATATCGCAATAGTACACAACAAGAACAAAAGAACAGCGCCATTATCCAAGTATCTGTGCCGAATGTATATGCTAGCTCCACACTCACGACATATTGCCTTTTTTCTAAGCATGGCAAATTTTAAATAAACATTGTAACTTCTGATGCTTTTGTAAGAGATTTAAAAACATTATACCAGAGAAATTTCAGAATTCTGGGTGGCTGATAACAGAGCCCATCATTAGTGTTGTTGTAACAATACTTTTTATTCATGTGAATTATAAATATTACATCTCTTATCAGGGTACAGTACAATACAGTGAAAGTTTAAACAAAGCTTTACAAACATCCGGAACCAGTAAATTCTTGACAGTAATAATATTCAAATTACTGCTACATTAAATTCTGCGTATGACAGATGAATGTTGAGTACAGGAAAACCAGATGAAACACCGACCAAAGTCTTTCTAGTCATCTAGTGGCACTTTGAAATTATAAAAAAGTGGAAATATACTATAGAGTGTATAGTATATTTCCACTTTTTTATAATTTTTGTCTTACATTAATGTGTGTTTTTAATTGTTGTTTGAATCAAACATTGATTGTTCAATTGGGTTGTCCCTAAGAGCATCAAACTTTGAGAATGAGAATGAGAATTTGTTTTCAAATTAAAATTACTACCTTTTTTACTTGACTGTGGGCAATTATGCCTAGCAATCTGTCATCGCGTACAATGTTTGATTGCAGTATGTATTTATTATTAACCTTTCTAACATGTTACAGTAGAACATCTTTAAGTCGTACCTGGATAAGTCAAAAGCCTCCAAAACTCGGAGTGAAAATCCTTATTATTGTTCCCTTCCCTTCATACGAAACCTTCATAACTCGAATTCTCAACAACAATCAGTCAGACTCCGCAGAAGGTTTTGGTACTTATTTTAAATTAATTTGGTATTCTGTATAACTAACATAAGAGTAGCAATGTTTTGTTTTACAACCTTTAAAACTTGATATAGTCTATAGTAGAAAAATCAGTTATGGACTTTAAGGATTTTTTAATGTAAGCCACTATTGTTTCTTATTTCTACTAACTCAAAATAACTAAGAATAAATCTTAACTAACTTGACTAAGTCTAATCAAAATCCTCCATATTACTTTTAAAATAACGTGGCAAATAACCTTAAACGCTCAGTTGTGAAACGACGGACGTCGAGGTGATACGGGTGACATTTCGTATTCCATAAGTAGAAAACTCTAAAAACTCGAATATTTTGCATCTCCCTTGATGTGCGAGTTACAGAGGTTCAGTATTACAAATATGTTATAGCTCTTTATCATTGACCATGAGGTAGATAAGACCTCATAAACATCCAAGTATCACCAAAGACAATTACGATGCGTGCACACCTAATGTTTTTGAAGGTATAAATCAATTAGGTACGGTTATTATTTTATGATAGTTATAAAATACATCTTCTGAACCGGAAATTGTACGTCGTGAACGCTTACGGTGTGTATAAAAGGATGTAATCAAAATTGTATAGTCATTTTTGAATTACGGTATTAGAAATCAACTTTACTAATGCATTTTGGTTTTTGTTTGAGATTTTCAATCTTGCATCCAACAAAAATCGTTTTTTGGGAGATTCTCGCTTTAAAAACTAGCTTTTTAAGCATGACATAGACACGGACAAATATATAGTGAGGTAGGCAATTGTTTTTAATTGTATGTTTTACTGTCTTCTGGACTAGCATTTAGGACTCTCAGGCTAAACAGGAGATAGAGTCAAACTCAGTTTCAGACTATCTCGATTTTATTTAGAAAGGAAACAAAATTAAACCATTTGCCAGACGGTTACCCAAGTGAGGACGTAGCATAAGATTTGAGATAAGGCCGCGGTACAAGGTGGTGCACGATCGAGATTGGAAAGTGGTTATCTGATCTCGACTGTACCAACGTCGTGACCGAAACGGAAAGTTCGTCCCTTACTGACATTTCCACTCAACTTTCAACACTTAATAGCATAATTTTTAACAAAACTTATGGCTCTTAATAAATCATAAACAAAGTGATTTTCACTTACGTATATTAAACGGTTTATATAATATATACTAGCGGACCGAACAGACGTTGTCCTGCTTGATATTTGAAGCGATTAGGATATTAAACAAAGTATGAAAGTACCGACTGCACCTGTTGGGCTGATTTGTGAATCTAAACCACCTAGGGCTCCACCCAAACGCATACAAAAAACTCATTCACATCGGTCCAGCCGTTTAAGAGGAGTTCAGTGATAGGCACACGTACAGTAGAATTATATATATTTATATATATGTAAGCTATCCTATCTTCTAAGTTAGAACGGTGTGCAAATTTGATTGAAATCGGTAAAGTAGTTTAGGAGTCCATAGCGGACAAACAACGTGACGCGTAATTTATATATTTTAAGATTCATTCATTCATTTTAAGAACATTACGTGCATAAAAAAATTGAAATATAGGGCGTATAAAGGCATGAAGATTTCACATGAAAAATGTGTGATCTTCATGTGGTGGCTGGCGGGGTCAGTTAAGATAAGATTTTCAACAGTGATGACTTTTAAATTTTCCCCGGAACGCTTCTTGGCCCGAAAGTGCCTAAAATCGATTTCAGATTATATTTCTATCAGGTATAGGCATAGACTAATTCTTCCTATAAAAATATTGTTATAGAAATGTGTGATCCCCATGGCATTTGTGAATTACAATACTTGGAAGATAATTAATTAGTCACTGAAGTGAAAACGGTAAATGCTCTGAACTTTCAGACATTGAAATGGTGTAATTTAAGATGCATTGCTGTACGTATAAAATGTTTTATGACGTCCCAAGAATCAGGCCCAATTGTTCTTATTAATGAATCAATTATACTGTGGTGTCGCACTTCACACGCCTATATGGGTGGAGTGATAAACTATTGTATTGTTCTGTTAAAGGATGAATTTAAAGGGGCCAAGGATGAACGCAAAACTAAGTAGACAATAACATGGGTCTTTCTATCCAATTCGCCTAAATACCAATCGTATTTTCATACATTTTACACTTTGTTGTAAAAATTAATGCTAATTAAAATAATGCGTGGCAAATACTACATATTATGGGCAGAGATTTCGTACAAGTTTAGTTGAGACAATTAGTTTAATGGATTTAAAAACTTATTTTTCTTGTAACCAAAGCGTATATGGAGTATGCATATTTTCAAGATTAAAATAGCAATGCATAAACAGTAATTATCTTGTCGAGTACTGTGAAATCAATAGATAAAATAATGCGTCAGATATTTACGCGACAATCAAAATAAATAAATATTTTCTTTATTTTATTTTATTTATTTTTTTATTTATTTTATACCTATTATAAATATTTTTACTTTCCAAAAACGTGATACCAAACATAATTTACTTTCAAATATTATTTTTCTTCTGTTAATCCAGAAACAGTTCGATATAGTATTTTTAAATCTTGTTATCCTTGTGAAGCCTTAAAGATCAATAATATTTCTTAAAAAATTTATGAAAAATGGTTCTACCATTGAGTTTCGTGGTCACTCAATGCCATTTTCCAGAATAACTGTTCGTCATCATCAATAACCGTCAGGACTATGACCTTTGAAGAGGATAAAAATAAACACAGACAACGATCGCATTAACAAATCATAGTAATTTAGACCAATTAGATGTATGTTTCATAAAGTCTTTAGTACACGTAAATATATAAAGGTCGATATAGAATATATTTCTGTATAAACCTGTTTGTTTTTCCAAGGACGTACCAACGTTAAAAAAAATGTAAAAGTTTAAGAGGAAAAACGTAACGCGTATTTCTAAATTGTTTATGGTTAAACATTTTTTTTTCAATTTAACAACCTAAGGAGTTTCAGCTTGTAACGTTTTTGTGTAAGTGATTCAGCGTTTTATTTTGTACTTTTTTTATGTAATAGGAGGCAAACGGGCAGGAGGTGAGCCACCTGATGTTAAGTGATACCGCCGTCCATGGACACTCACATTGCCAGAAGGCTCGGAAGTGCGTTGCCGGCCTTTCAAGAATTGGTACGCTCTTTTCTTGAAGGACTCTAAGTCGAATTGGTTCGGAAATACTTCAGTGTACATACTTCCACCGAGCGGTGTAATGGGTTTATCTCCCTCATGCTGGAACATCTGGACAGTGGCCACAGTCCCTTTCAGCTGCTCGTACTCACGGGCCATTTGACGTTGGACCTGGAAACAAATTACATATTAGGTTACCAATAAAATATCATTCAAGATATTAGTTACCTTGTCGTATAACATGTAATAATAATGTACAACTATCGTCAGGGTCAGAAGCCATTCATTCGAACTTGCAACTAACTTGGATACGAACTTTTAGTACGCCTACAAAGGCGAAACGAATCACGCACATGGGCTGTAATCATAATACTAAATTAGTTACAATAATTTAACGTTACGCAAGCTAGGGCCTTCCATTTGTTACGCACTAACCGCAGAATAATTTACTAAATATTAGCGCTGCACCTTTATCTGAAGTTAACGCACAATCGAGTGTTTTAACTGCTGTGTCAAAACAAAGCAGTACTTCTTAGGCTTAGGTAGAAAGCAATACCACGAAGCTTAAGTATAAGTAAGGAAAATGCAAACTTTTGTGCTAAAATCTCCGTTAAATGATACGATAAACAAAAAGTTTTTTTTGAAAAAAATATATATCGTATAACTTAATATTATCTTCAATACACTCAATAAATAAATATAAATAGTATGTCTAACGCAAGAACTCATCAGTACCAATATAGTGGATATTATGAAAAAGATACAGAATGTATTTTTTTTTAATTTTAATAAGAATTAGTAAAAAAAAGTCAATTTTCTTAATAAAGCAAAATAAATTATAACTCTGCAGGGGTTGAGCTTAGAGACCTCCCGTAGAACAATTTTTTGCCGCTGATGACCTCATCTATTCCCATTTGCGTTTGATCCACGACTTTTTGGCCACCCTGTATATACTTATATATCGCATGCGATACGAATACTCGAGACTAATAATAACTATCACAGATTGTACCAATGTTAATGATTCAAAAATATTTATTACGCTTATCAATCGTCCATTATCTGTTACATTATGAGACGCCAAGCAGTCTGTTCTCTGGGTATAAAAAAGTGTACTTGTTAAACTCATTAAAATTCATTTTGTGTGTGGGTGGAACAATGAGTTAAGACAAAAAACTATGTATATCACAACCAAATGAAGCATTGTTTAAAAAAGCTTAACATAAAATTTTACGATCAACGAGAAAAAAAAATAATTATGTTTGTACTTGCTTACAACAAATAATTATATTCAACCGAAAATTTAATTATATTTTAAATAGCACATGTTTTTTGTTTTCGGATCAAATTCCAAAGATCACTAATGATTACATCGTATGAAGGAAAACACCTTCGCTGGACGTCTTCAGTTCTTAATATCGTTATGTCATAAATTTTAATTTAATTCCGTTCGGTGGTTAAGTATCAAACTTTAATTATTTAATTAAAGTACCCACTAAATAGTTTATTAAGTATATCTTTTTATTATTTTTATGAATCTATTCTAACGCTTAATAGGATGCAAGGTCACGATAATAAATAAAACGAGGTTAAAAAAAAACAATATAATTGCTTCGCGCATTTCACAAACGAATTCAATTCAAAGGCTTTTTCATTTCCCTAATCACCGTATGCAAGTGTAACAGCCTCATAAAAGCACACAATGGTTCAAAATAAACAGAGTGAAATGTTGCTATTGTTTCAATTTCTCGAAGAGTGCCCACATGAGCCTTGAGGAAAAGTGAAATTTGATCTCCCACATGATTAAAAAATTACACAATCAACCGCCCACTATTCTACTGATGAGAAGGTGTTAATTGATCATAAAATACATAGTGCACAACAAAATTTAAATATATATAATTAGAATATTTGAAATAAATAAATAAAACAGAGGCATTACGACCTTTTTAGGTTTGGGCCTCAAATTTCTGTATCTGTTTTATGGTAATTTGTCAATCTAATAGGCAAGTATGTGATCAGCCTTCTCTGCTTGACACATGCCGTCAACTTTATGGGTCTAAGGCAACCGGTATCCTCACGATGTTTTCCTTCACCGTTCAAGCGAATGTTAAATGCGCACATAGGAAGAAAGTCCATTGGTGCACAGCACACTCGGGGATCGGGGAGGGGGGAACCTACGGGATGAGAGACGCATGCTTTCAAGTCACTAGGCTAACACTGGTCTGAATATTTATTTATTCTAAATCCAAACGGCCGTTAAATAGCAAGCACTACTAGTCTCTTAGATTGTTTAAGTTGTAATATATCACCATAAGGCATGCGGCAGCATTTGTTTTATTAATACTATTGTGGTAAGACTTTGTATCTACTATAAGCAGTTATCATTATGTTTCGATCTTCTTCCTATCCGGTGCACTCTTGACAGAGCGGTCGTGATCGCTAGGAAGTAGTTGTAATATTAGGGGCCACTATGTTTCGGTATCTGCGTAAAAATAAACATAATATTTACGAACGGTGAAGGAAAACATCGTGAGGAAACCGGCTTGCCTTAAGGCTCCCACACAAAACTGCGAATTCGCATCGCATCGCAAATATCTGCGAATTCGCACGAACGCAACGCAAGAATTTCCGATCTGCTCCGCATCGCACATTCCTGCGATTTTACGTCATCCTTGGTGACACCATTTTAGTCCGCTCTGAGACAGCTTTAGAGAAAAATGGCGGAATATGATATAGATTTTTTAATATCTTTAATTGAGGAGCGTCCCGTCCTTTGGTCCTGACCTGATAGTCAGTCCCAGCATTTCCAAAGGCATAACAGGAATTCTTCCTTTGTACGATCGTTTTTGAAGGCATGGTGATAATATACTCAAAAGCTCTTCAAATGAAGATAATATGCTCATTCTAAAATAATCAAAAAATGTATCTTCTTCAGTTCTCAACGCATAGTACTTTTGAATAAAATAGTTCCCATCAGAGTTCATAATCGTAATGAATGGATGAACCCAGAATCTTCTTTTTCTTTTATATCTATTTAACAATAACAGCAGTGGAATAATCTTTTTGCGATCCATCTTACGCTTCTTAAAAACACGTTCAGTACGGCTGACTTCGAAAGAATGGTCGCCCTACCAAACGGTTTGACGCACTAAATCGTATCGCAGAAATTCGCATCGCATCGCAGTTTTGTGTGGGAGCCCTTACACCCAAAAAGTCGACGGCGTGTAGATTGACAAATGATCATGAAACAGATACAGAATTCTGAGACCTAGACTTAAAAAGGTTATATATGATATGTACATTTTCGTACATATTAAACACCATCACTTGTCTCGTTCAACACGCCTCGAAACCTACATAACAATAGAAAGATGACGGCTTCAATGTTGGTATTTATGTAAACTGTAACTAGTACTTCAATGTATCGCGTTAGCATAACGCAATATACACGTTTACTTAAGACCGCACAATCCAATTGTAAATCGTCTTCCTACTCGCTACAATCGTATTATGCAATATTACGACTCCTTAATACAAGATGAATAGTACAAAGTACACCTTTGAATATGTATATAATGTACGTAGCACTGTACGAGAATCTTTAATTAATCTATGGTTTTTATAGCAATACAATCGTCGATCAGATAATTGTTAATTTAAATCTAAGACAAATAAATTGTAAGCTTAGTAGCCTAGTAAATAGTATACCCATTTTACCATGGATTTTTCCAAAGACTAATGATTGTTACACATCTGTAAGTGAAGCGTTACGAACTTTTTTTAGAAAAGTGTAGGAAAATTTTGCCTAAAGATGAAAGACAAAGGGATATTGCGATCATGATATTTGGTATTCGAAATTCGAACTAAATTTTGAATGGCGTACAATTTTTACTTTACCAGAAAGGCTATTCTAATTAAAACCCTTGGTACTTTAATTAGGAGCGTATTACTCCGACAGACGAATAACCTTCAGAAAAAATAATAGAAATATATGGGGTTCGGGGACATTGCGTAAACATGAAGCATTTCACCTGATTTGTGAAACACCTTGACCGAAATACTTAGGATTAACATATTATCGCAATTAAATCTACCCACATACTAAGTATTATGCGGGCTAATAAACTGTAGGCCTTCCGTAATTCTAATCGCCATTGAATAACTTAATAGCCCGGTTTCAATTACACGCACAAACAGACATAGACAAGTTATTTAAATATTCAACTTCTAACAAATATGTTCTATTAACGTTTTTTTAATCACAATTTCTTCTTATTGAAAAATATATAAATACTATTTCGGTACGGTGTTATCACAGCCTTTCTAACTGCAGAATCATTTTATAAGCGTAACTCTAAAACGACTTTTCAAACCTTGCGTCGACTGCGTGGTCAGATAAGACCAACATAAAAACGTAGATGTTATCGTTTAATTGTGACAAGCTCATGATAGAGCTACTATTAAGAATTATGCATGACATGGTACTTATGTACATCATGCACCTAATGATTATAAAGAAGCTTACATGACAATCCATTGATTTATTTAAAAATGCGTGTGTTATGAGTTTTTTACATTCTGAGAGGCGTAAAAGTAGTTATGAAAATTGATCTACATACAAAAAACGCGTACACGCGTAATTGCGTTTGTCGCATTTGCATTAAGTAATTAGACTCCATATGCTTCATATATCGCCTACATAAAGGTCAATGACATCGCCTAATGCTACTACAATAGAACAAACGAAATGCTTTGGCGACAATCCAGCCGCTAAATCAGACTAGGTGACCTAACTAGGACCTTTCTTCTAACAAAACGATTGATCTTTGATTTACTACTCTTACTTCTTAGACGTCTAAAATGTCTAGCTCTAAATTAAGATAAAAAATTACAATTTTTAATTAAATATTTCTTAATTAATTTAATTGTTTTTGAAGATTAATCAGTTATATTTTCTCCTTGTAGTTTTTTAATTTGGATTTTAAGATCACATATTAAGAGACATTATATACAAAAAAGCAGTGAAGGAATATGTACCACCTCCTGGTATCAATTTTCAATACACAATATACAATAGTAATTAGTAAGCTTTTATAGTGTGTATTACCTAGGTATATCTACGAGCAAGAATATTAATAAATAAACTGGAGTTAAACCCGCAATGTCCACAGTTGATTAATCTAATTGAAGTATATATGATTATTTATTTATTTATAGATACTAAAATATATATATAAGTAAAATTTTTCTAACAAAAACGTAAAAGTAATCAAGTACACCTTAAAAGCTAACACAGAATAGAAATAATACATTTTAACAGAAATTAATAGAAAGTTAAATACACTGTTAATC